TGCTTAGAGTTACACAGCTGCACTCCAAGATTATTTAGATATGTTGGGTGTCAAGACTATATTGCAATTACTCATGTCTCAGATAGAGAACACAGATAAGGGCATGAAGATATTCATTGGCTCACTGACCATAGATTTGGTCAGATTGGGACAGTGCAATAAAGATAAGTGGCAGGACTTATCTGAAATTTCATCTTACTTCTCTCCTAAGCACTCTGACACCTCTCATACATGCTTGTCATCTCATTGCAGCCTACACAAGCATGCAATGGCTCTGGAGATCATCATCAACATTAGACCTTATGACTTCAATATCATGAAAGTGAGATCCCAGCAGTTGATGATTGAGAACCTCATGGATAGCAACAAAATTGTCTTAGACCACTCTCAGTTCTTGGGCTGCTGCATACTAGCTGATATAGTGATGAAGAAGAGTGGTGACAAACCCACCAATCAGCCAATGCCTCTCAGCTACAAGTACTTGGTTGAGGCTACTCATCATGAACCATACTTCACTATACAGGAGGGAAATGTTTTTGCCCATATCAATGAGATGACTGGCCATTGGAAGGTGGAAAACAAGATCATCAAGATCAGTGACTTGCTGCCTGTTGCCTCCATGCATAAGGTTGAACTGTTGTCAGCTATATAATGGGCTAAACTGGAGGAGTTGAGAGAATGGGAGCTAATAAAGAGTAGATGGAGGAAAAAACAAGAGACTAAGAGACCAAGTTTCAGAAGAGAAAGATGAACTTGATTTTGATGAAGAAGCTTGACTAGTAAAGAGCTAAGGATATACATGCTATCAATCACTCTTTTCATATTGTTCAAGCCTTGAAGACTAGCTTGTGCTGCCATCCTGGACTATCTCACCAGTCAACTATTGCCACACAACTCTTGTCCATTCCTGTGCCAACTTTAAATACCACATCTACATCCACAACCTCCACTGTGTCTGCCACTAATAAATCCACCTTATCTGCTGCTGCAAAACCTTTCATGTGCCAATCAGTGGCTCCTGCCACTGGCACACTGTCAGCCTCATCATCATCTGGTGGTCTTGCAGGCTTGAAGTTCAAAAAGAAGAATAATAGCTGAGACAAGGATCAGAAGGAGGTTGAGCAGAACATAGATGTTGATGATTCAGAGGAGGACAGCTTGTTGAACTATGGAAATGATACTTTAAGGTGTCAACATGGCTATTATCAGGAGGGACACCTTGATCACAAGGCATTGGAGGGTGGATATAACAGACAGGCCTGTTCTACTTCCTTTTTCATAATATAAACTCAGACTTTATTTGAACTATGCTTATCTATGCACTCCACATCATGCCCAGCTAGGGCTTAGTAAGCTGATGTTAGAGAAGCATAACAAATCCTGACAGGATCACCCTCAGCCATAGAGAAACCTTGTAGGAGCTGCATGACATATAGTATAGGACCAGAGGTATTGTCATGAGAAAATAGGTTGGTTTGAGACAGCCAAGGCTTTTATATACAGTATTTAAGTCAGTAGTATACAGTGATATATTCTAGTCTCCAGCTGAGTTTCATATGTCAATCAAACTCTTTGTCTTTGCGTGTGCTGCCCCTTTCAGGGTTTGCCCTGGCCTTTATGTTCTGTCGACGTCTGCGTCTGCTTCGCTTTATCGTTGTTCTGTGTGTTCTGATCTTTATCGTTTTGTTTTATCTTCCTTTGGTTTTTGGTTCTGGCGTTTTGGTTGCAGTGCGTTTGTGGTTGTTTGATTGTCATCTTGGTTTTAGCTGGAGACTAGAGTATATCACTGTATACTACTGACTTAAATACTGTATATAAAAGCCTTGGCTGTCTCAAACCAACCTATTTTCTCATGACAATACCTCTGGTCCTATACTATATGTCATGCAGCTCCTACAAGGTTTCTCTATGGCTGAGGGTGATCCTGTCAGGATTTGTTATGCTTCTCTAACATCAGCTTACTAAGCCCTAGCTGGGCATGATGTGGAGTGCATAGATAAGCATAGTTCAAATAAAGTCTGGGTTTATGTTATGAAAAATGAAGTAGAATGGGTCCATCCATTACAAGTTCTGACTGGTGGGGCTCTGAAGTATGTCTTGGCACCAGTATCTGGGAGACATCAGATGTTATGCCAGATCCCCATCAAACCAGACAGAACAAGTGGACAAGATGAATCATACACACCTTGAAATCATATCCAGCTACCTCATTCAAAGGTAACCATTATCATATGCAAAAAATTGATCTCTCAAAGTCTAAGTTTATGAGCCATTGGTGGCATTATGACTCCACTGCGTTTAAGTCTCTGATGTGCAGATACAGAAAATTTTCTTCATCAATAGAAGGACTTCTCTACTGCTGTACTGAAACAAATTAGTAGTATGGACTAAAGGCTTTGCTAATAAAAGAATTCCTATATGTAAAACAGGCATGATCCTGTAAGTCAATATTATATGGACATGTAATCTATTGCTGAATGATAGGCTCAGCAGCTGTCCAAGTGGAAATTATTGGCTTTTTTTTGGTTCAACATGGTCTGTGTGGAAATCCATCACTGACTAACAATAGGTATGCTAATTATTTGCTATTGGTGATGAGATCTTATGAAAGAAAAAGTGCATAAAGAGAACTGCATTGTTTGGGTATTTGGGCAAGGATCTCCAATGGCAACTATCAGAAGTGATGTTCTTCAGATAGTTTTTGTGTGCACAGTTGAAAGACCAGGACTGTGGGTGATAGATGTCACTTTCAGGACAGAAACCCTGCTTACCTATCAATCTTTGATGGTGGGACATTTTGTAGGGCCTGTAAGTACTCTATGCTGTGCTGATGTTTTTCAGGTAATCAACACTTATTAGATGCCTTTTACTGTGAGATTGAATGGACAATGAGATGTGGGCCAGCTAACCATAAAATGTTAGCAGAGGAGTCCAAATTCTATATCATGACTGGCAATGGATCCTTTGCTTTTGGAGAACTATGACCTCTCAATAAAAGGCAATCCATCTTGACACAGGAGTGAGAAGAAGGTCAGTTTGTTGGAGTGATACAGGCAATAGATGGGAATACCACACTTGTGAGCATCAAGGATGAGTGAGAGCATATGCATGTGACTCATTGAAGCTCATCCTTCATCCATCATGGCATTAGGAAATGACACATCCTTGAATGCCATACCTCCACTCATATGAGGGCCTCCTTGTGATGTGCTTGGGTTTGTCTATCTTCTTGCTCACTTGGAGCAGAGGAGGAAATTCCAGCTATCAGCAGGTACTCTTTATGTGCAAAGGTATTATTCTATGTTTATAGAGTATGCTGGACTACAAGTGTAATGATTTGAATTTTGAAAAACTATATGAATATGATTGTCATCAATGTGGATCCTACAACTTGTATACATGCACCAGGGACAGTACTATGAGTCAGAGGATGGAGAGCAATTTAGTCTTCTTAGTTGAAAGTTTATTGCAGATGCTCATTAAAAAAAAATACATAGTCACAGGCAGCTTGACTTTCATTCAATGTGGGAAGCTTCATGATATAACCATGTCAAAGAATCAGGAGAAGAGCTTTACCCATGCATGTGTCTCTCCCATCTGCTGTATTCAAGTGCCTGCCAGAGTTTATTTATTTCTTACTACTGAACTATATCACTAGGTCCAAGAGAGAGAATCAGGGATAGCTGGGGATAGTCATGGTTGTCACTATGGACAAGCAGATATCTATGGCAATGTAACATATGATCTCAGAGGAACCAGACCATGCCAATGCTTCCACTACCAGGGTTCTTCAAGTTCAGGTCTCTTGCCAGAAGATGTCTTCTTCTTATAGTGCTCCATCCCAACCTTGCAACAATGATGGCTATGATTCATGATCATCTTTATCCTTTTCCTGCCCACAGGTTTTGCTAAGTGGCCACAACAACTACAGGTATTAAACCTCAACAGTGAGACCTTTCTTTCTCCCTGTGTAGATCCCTTATATCTATCTGCTCTTGCCTCATTCTAGATGAACACCTTCAAAGTGCATCAACCTTCCTCTACTATGTGGTTCTGGAAAGAATTGTGTCAATTGTAGACTTTGCTTTTTTCTGCTGGTTCATATTCAACCAAGTGAAAGAATGGAAGAAGCAAGTTGAGAGATGTTTTTCATACTGTGTTTTTGATGGCAATTCATGCCAGCTTGCTCCACATCTGAAAGGTTAGCAGATGTCAGTTTCAGATGCAGGACAAATAAAATGGGGCAACTTCCTGAGTGCAGCAGAATGTCATTCAAATTAATGCTGGATATTTAATGTAAAATAAAGCATCCAGGGGGGCAGGGGTGAGAGGGTCACACTCAAATGGTTGGCATAGTGGTTCAGTTCACCACAGATATTGATCAAGGAAATTCTAGTCTCCTCTTTTGCTTTAGGGCCCTGGAGAGATAGTTTGATGTGAGGATGGCCACAGTAATTTCCAGTGCACATTCATTCACTTTTCTCTTGAGCAAAAGTCAAAAAAAAAGAAAACATGAGAAGGCTGTGAATCCATCACTCTAGAAGAAGACAGCGAGTCCTCATTATAATGGCAGATTGGTAGTGTAGTGCACATCTTCAGATAGGAGAGCCATTAATCTTGAATGTTAATCACACAAGAGGGCTGCCTGGTTGGAATAAGAGAAAAGGATAACTTCTAGTGTCACATCAATTTGGGGTTCAATTCCCTATCCAGGATGTGATGTAACATCGGTCTTGGTCAGCTGGTTTTGCATGGCAGGCAGTTGAAAATTCAAGCTCGGCCCTGTGCTCTTCAGTCATGTAATTAAAGGAAGAGTGAAATGTTCATTATTCCAAGATGTAGCTTATTCTCTTAGGCTATTAGTGGGAATGTTTTGATCATTGATATGTATGAATGCAACTTTGGGATATAAGTTACAAAGACTTCATCAGCATCTTCTTCAGGCAGTCTCATGGACAATTTGCAATAAACGCTGCTTAGTCACCGGAAACATCGGCCCGCAGCCTTTGGACATGAACTTTACTCTGCTCGCCGACGACGTCTTGATCTACACCATCGCGTATCTCTCCGTCCCCGATATTCTTCTCCTTCGCCAGGTGAGGCTCTCTTCGCTCTTATTTCCTGTAATGCTGAATTCTCAGACATGTAAACTGTTCAATGCACTGACAAGGCTGCCAATCGTATGGACCAACGCTCACAAGCTCGACATTCTGTCCAATGACTATCCTTTCCCACTCGATGACAGCGATCTTGAACAGCGCACGCGGCATGCATACCGACTCGCATCACGATGGCTCGCAGACTCTGCTCTATCACCCAAAAGCGAGACGACATTCACTGGATCGCCCGTATCAGAGATCAAATTCGTCTCGGGGCGCCAGCATAAGTGGCTTCTGACGGTTTCGAAAGTGATATGGTCTGTTCTGATGGTCTGGGATATCGCGCGGGGGCAAAAGTGCTCGGAATGGTCGCCAAAAGGCGCGATATTCACTGGAGTGAGCCTGAACGATGATGCAGAGTCTGAAGCCAGTTTGGCAGTGTCATTGTGAGTGCCCATCGCTTTGCTAAACGAGTGCTTATGTCTACAGATCGCAGAAAATCATTCTTCTGCGGTTGGACGACGCTGGAACGCTACACGAAATCGGCTCCATCGACATTGACCTCCGGCCCGTCAACCTCACGGGGGATGTGTTAGCCCTTACAGACGACACCTCCGTCACGCTCATCCACAATTGGAAGACGGGCGAGCAAACATACCTTGACACGCCACCTGACCACTGCATCCAAATCGTGCTCACCCCGCCCACTGTCCTCGTAGTGCGCGCCCGATCCATCGCTCTCTACGCCCTCCCATCTTCGACGCCTCTCTCCACACACTCCTTTGGCTGGGTCGACGGCGCCAGCGCGACCACCACCTCCATTCTTATCCGCTCAGAGAACGATAACCCCTGGGCCTCAGAGCTCAATTCCCTCCAGCTCTACGCCCTCTCCTCCTTTCCACCGACGCTCATCAGCAGGATATCCTCCAGACGTGGCGCGCTCCGATGTCCGGATATCATCCTCGGCAAGCGGGGTACCGCAGTTTGGATACGCCCGCATGATCGCGCCTTGGTTTCTCACTGGGAGGAGCAGGAGAACAGTTGCGAGACCCTCATGACTGCCGTCTTCCCCGGATCGCTTAACCACACTGAGAATGTCCGCGTTCGCGACGTCTGCATGAACACCCTGAACAACTGGACAGCATTGGATTATGACGAGGACCTTGGAAGGATCGCGCTTGGATCGGGGTTTGGGAAAATTACGGTTGTTCAATTGTAGCTAAAATATATATATGTCCGTGGGGGTACTATTATGTTTGCTACGAGGGTTCGATTCCCAGCCGAGTGACGTGTGACCAAGATCGTCTTCTTTTTCTACCGTGCCTCTCCATTCACGTCTAGATTAAGAACCATCCTCTTTTCACTTTTCGGTCGTTCATTGTACTCGACTATGCGCATAGAGCCACCAGCCACATCGTCTGCGACATTTATTCCGCTTTTTGATGCGACCGGCCTTTACCTGGGCCGTCATAGATCAACACAGAAATGTTTTACTCCCACCCGAAAATCCCAGTACTTTATACGACGCTTTGGGGACCCTATGTGTTCGTTTGGCAGCAACTATAGTGGAGGAGGTGAAGCTAACTAATAGTTCGCGTCATATGAGAGGGACGAGCAGGAGGGGAGAAAGAAATACAGCTGCTACCCTAAGTTCCTCTTTCTTCACAGAGCTCGGCCATGCTAATCGTCTATGGTCCAAGTGGTAGTGGCGTGATACGAACAGACGTTGCGCTCTACTGTAGTGATGCGAAGATGGATAATCAGAACATAACGCGGTAGAGCTCCGATCGAGGTCTGACTTTACGTGTCCCTCCAAAACAGGACCTCAACATCGACTCTGACCCCAATTTCTGCCTTTCTTGGAATGTACAATCGCGAGCGGCGGGACCGTCGACTTGGAAAATCAACGAAAAAGAATACTATCTCATCTGTGGAGTTTGCAAATGCGTCGAGTACATAAATCGTGAGTCCTCAGGGAAGACTCAAACCAATCGGAGCATAAACAGAATTACAGGACCAAGTCGGACCGTTCGAGTGTTTGTATATAACCACCTGGGGATATCTTTAGGCATCAGTCCTTTGACAGCGCCGCTAATGATGACACACGTTAACCGTCCGATTCGTACCTCGACAACGGCACGACAAACACCTCTGTTGCGACCACAGTTTTGCTACGGTATCTATCATTTTCTCCCTTTCTACGAATCATATCCCGATCGCACTGTGATTAGGGAAATTGATTTTTTTCGTCAAGCCGTTCGAAGGAATGGCTGGGACAGCCAGTAAGCCTCTAAGCGAATTCAGCAATAAATTGGAGGCTTTTTGGAAATCGTGATACAGAGAAACATGTCAAGTCTGCACAGAGGAGCATCTTGAGTATGCTAACTACCTTCACAAGTTCGTAATCTCTCCCTTCACTGAGACTGACCGGCCAAGAAGAGTCATGTATTCCAGTGCTTTCCTATACTGGTACAACAGCCCGCTATATAACTCAGGACCATTGCAGGCAGCGCAAATGATGTTGAGTGTATGACTATTTTCTCCCCGGGTTGGGAGGAAGTCACAAGTAGAAAAAAGGCCCATCTGAAGAGAGAATCTTTACCGGGACTCGAACCCTGGTGGTGAATGATATATCCACGGAGTTATCGTGCTCATATAGGAAGCAGAGCAGGGAAAAAACAGCCATGATAGCAGAAAAATTGTGTCAACGAGTTGAGAGATTCTTCGACGAGGGCTCGAACCAGGTATTCAGAGAAGCGCACTGTTTGCGCCAAGAAGCTATTGTTTGGAACTTTTTCGTACATTGCTGCGAAGATGGATGCATAAATGAGGATGTAGCTGGGAGGAAATATGGGTTTTTTTGGGAATGAAAGCATGGACTGGGGGTACACACACGACTTGACAGCTCAGGGTCTTCCAAAACAAAACTCAACGCCATATCACAATGAAACTTCGATTGGGATTTGAACCCCTGTAATAGGATTACAATATGAAGTACACCATAAAGGGGATACATCTTGAACATGACTGAACAATCATAATCTTCTTGAACCCCGATGGAAGCGCGATCCTCCCGAGCTCCTCATGTGTAGCAAGAGGTATGTTGGAGGCCATAGATCTAGAGCGATGGATCAGGAGCAGAAGACAAGGATGGGCAACATCCACTGTCAAGAGGACTTTGATGCAAGGGTTTGTCAGCATGTCATCTCCTTCATTGAGATAGGCACCACTTGTTGGTCTTCCAGTGGTAGATCATCCTTGAGAACAGATTGTCACTTAGAGCTATCTGGTCTCTGGGCCAGGTTGACTACATGTTGATGGATCAGATACCATGCAATCTTTCATCATTATCCAGATGCAGAAGCCCAATTTTCTGTGACAAAAAAAACATCTGCATCAGTGGACATTCATTGGGGCAACAACCAGTTACTGATGCTGGCCACCCAGTTAAAAGCCTGTAGACACCAGTTGATACTGGCATATATCAGTGGACAGACCAATAGGTATCTGTCATGAGCTGATAATGACCCATTCTATGTTCCAGTCATAGGTGAATTTGAAGATAGTAGGGAGACATCATGACCTAAGGGTATGTATAACACCAACACACAAGATTTTGAATGTGACAGGCTGTAATAAATGAAGGAACCTCCATGTAGATACATATGCCTTTAATTTTGATATAGGACAGTCTTGGTATGTACTGGATGGGGGAGATAGCTGTATATTTGAAAGCAATGATGAAGACTTTGAATCATGGAACTGGGTGGGAGATTTGGATATACAATTTCTTGGCATGTATGGCTTTGTCTTTTCCACTGTATGGCTCTGAGAGAGAAACATTTCTCTGTTGATCTGTCACAGCCAAGATAGGGGCTTGTCACATCAGAAGCATGATAATTGTACTATCAAAAACAGGATAAACATTGCTGACTATCCAGCAGGTGGCTCTTGGCCCATAGTCAAGTACAATGGATATGAAAATTTGAAAAGAACAGTCACACATCACTCAGATGAGAATTGAATATTGAATATTGAACCCTCATAACAGATATAACAGTACCCAAATAGATATATTTCACCTACAATTGAACAATTGTAATCTTCTCAGACTCTGATGCAAGTGCAATCCTTCCAAGGTCCTCATCATAATTCAATGCCATCCAATGGTCAAGAGTATTCTGGCAGACCTTGCAAATATGGACATCCTTCATGTGATTAAGCAGACTGGAAAAGACAGCTGCCATGAGCATCTGGTAACTGTCCTCCAGCCCCTTCCAATTAGAAATAAGGATATGCTCTTGAGGACATACCCAAACTGTGGTTCTCCACTTCCCAAGAATGAGGCCTGCACATTGGAGCATGCCATGTATGAAGAATATACTGCTGATGAGTGTTGGTGGAAAGGAGGAGAGGGTGTAGAGATTGAGGGAATTGAGCTTTGAGATCTGGTTATGGTTCTCAGAGTAGATGTAAATGGAGGTAGTGGTTGCACTGGCACTGTCGACCCAGCCAAAGGAGTATGTGGAGAGAGGAGTGGAAGATGGGGGGGTGTAGAGGGCAACAAATCAGGCTTGTACAATGAGGACAGTCAGCAGAGTTAAGACAATTTGGATGCAGCAGCTGAGTCATCTGTGAAGGTATGTTTGCTTGCTGGTCTTCCAGTTGTGGATGAGCATGACAGAAGTGTCATTGGTTAGTGCTAGGATATCACCAGTGAGGGTGACAAGATGGAGGTTAGTGTTGATGGAGTAGATTTCATGCAATCTTTCATCATCATCCAAGTGAAGGAGTGAAATTCTCTGTGATCTATATAAATCAGTGGTCATTAAGCAGATTAAAAGGTTGCTCACAATAAGATTATGGCAGTGGCTTCAGACTCTAGGTTATTGTTAACCTTCACATCTGTGAATCTAATGTCTTTCTGATGTGGAGACCACTTGGAGCACTTGTGCCCATACACAATGTTTCAGATTGTCAGGACTGATTATATCCATCCAGATGCAGTCAACAACCATCTGTGTCCTTGCTCTGGTATGAATTTGATCAGTGATATAGGTAAGCTCATCAATGTTGTCTCACTTTTGGGTGATAGAAAACAGTCAGCAAGCCACTATGATGTGAGTCAGTGTGCATGTACCATGCACTGTTCAAGATCAATGCCATTGAGTGGAAAATAACAGTCATTGGTCAGAATATCAAGCCTGTGGGCATTGGTCCATATGATTTGTTGTCTTGTCAGTTCATTGAACAGTTTACACATCTGAAAATTCAGCATCCAGGACTTACAGGACAAAGAGAGCCTCACCTGGCAGAGTCATAGAATATCTCAAACAGAGAGAAATGTGATGGTGTAAATCAGCAAATCCTCAGTGAGCTGGATAAAGTTCATGTCCAAGCACTGTGGCAATCTATCTTGTGACCAAGAAGTGTTTATTGGAAATTGTTTCTGGTAACAATATTCTCCATCATGTCATTGCTCTCAGTGGGCCTTGCACTCTGTATATAGGGATGTCCACTGTCCTCATATATAAGGTGGATATGGGTACTGTATGTACAGTACTGTACCATCAAAGCCTTGAGCCTGGCTTTTATGGTATGGATTCAGCCCATATAATCTGTATTATAATATGGCAGCCATTTTTAGCAATAGAAGGTGTTTGAACCCAGAAATTGCCTCTCTGACTCAGCCTCTACTGCACATCATTGCTTCAGTCATGAGTGAGACATGTCAACTCACTGGTGTCATTCTACTCAGTATAATTTCTTCACTATTATCATTATACCTTTTCAGAAATATGTGTGAATCTATGAGTACTGTCTTTCTGAGCCATTTTTCTCATTCTCTTGCAGTAAATGAGCCATTCAAGGTTGGAGCCTCACATTTTTCCAGCACTGATGCAGCCTAAATTTCATATACTTGTCTTGGAGTAATTTTAGTGCCCATGGCTGCAAACACTGAACTAGTTTCTGACTCTATCCTCATTCTTATCCCAGCACTGATTGAGAGTCTGAGACTAGCATATACCATGGCTCTGAAAGATACATTGCCATATTCTCTTTGCTTTAAATGATAAAAGTAAACTTATATGGCATTTTAGAATATTATCAGTTGAGTAGGCTGTCATTAGTACATAACCATGCATTGTGCATGATTTGCAGACTGTATGTCTTTGCACTACTTTTTTTGTTTTGTGTTTTTGGTGGAGGCTGCAATATTTTCCTATCATGCTGCTCACTCTGTTGTCCAGTGAACTATTACCAGAAGTTCTTTGACCTATGGCACAGGCTCATGGATCTCAGACTGTTGCATCCATGTTTGTCACTGGTGTGATGGATCTCTTTGTATAATCATCTGCATTGGTATGTCCACCAATAATTATGATAAATCAATTATTTGTTAACTGTTATTAGTGCTTATTTCACTGTCTAAGTCTGTTCTTGTGTCTGTCACACTGACACATTGATGTTATAGCTGATATCATATTTCAAACCTCTGTTTGGATAAATACTATTGCTTTGTAAGAGATCCTCATATTCCCTCATATCTGCATATTAAAAACAGGTATAATTCATTATGACTTATTTATCCTTCTGGCTAATTCCCATAAACAAGTCTTGAAACCTCCAGAAACCATAAAATCTTGCTGCAAGTGTGGGGTTTCACATTATTGAGGTAGTCTTCATTAGAGCAAACCAGTCATGGAAGAGCTATACATGCAGAGTTATATTTATACCTCAGAATAGTGGACTTGTGTCTACTGTTGGAGATGTGCTATCATCCACAGTTACAGCTGATGTGAAGCTGCCTTCTCTTGTGTATATTCTGGACCAGCCACAAAGCCTGTCCCACTCTGTAAGTTAGTATGTACACCATCACTGATGCTTTGCTGACAACTTATTTTGTTTTTAGTGGTCAAAAGTGCTACAAGCATAAATGATATCTCATCCTACACAATATACAAGCTCTTGACTGCTTTGCTAGTTACATACCCAAGCAATAGTCTCTGCTTTCTGGACATGAGACAATATCTCAGCAGAACACAGTGTCAAGAAAATCACAACTATGGATTGATATAATACTTATTCTTTTGCTTTGTGTTAGACTCAAATGTCATATGAATGCAAACTTGTGATAAGCTGGCATTGTATCATGTTTCTACAATCACACCAGAGTCCACTTCTACTGTCTGACTCAGTGTGAAGATCAAGGCATTGCAAGTTGCTCAAGAGTGAATGGTATAGAATAAACTTTAGCTTGAAGCTGAAACTACTACAGTGAGAGCTATATTACTTATATATACTTTGATCTATGATAAATATAGTCTGTCCTTTTGTGAATGTCTGTAGGTTATAACTAAAGAATGTATCATGGGTGTATGAAACAATGAAATACAAGCATTATTGAGGTGTCTATCATGAGTCACAGTATAATAGTGCAAGCTGTCCAATTCAGGTATAGTTACTGGTTCAACCAGATAGATAGTAAGAAAGCACCCATGATTAGATAGATGCTTGATAAGATAAGATAAGTGAAAAAATCATAACACTTTGAGTCTGGCATCCTTTCCAGCAAAATCTAGATCTAACTG